TCATTGTTTAGTAGCATGTTATTTAGCTTCCATGTGTTTATATATTTTCCATGTTTTTTTTCTTGTAGTTAATTTCTAGTTTCATACCATTGTGATCAGAGAAGACGATTGATATGATTTCTTTCTCCTTAAATTTATTGAGACTTGATTTGTGTCCTAACATGTGGTCTATCCTTGAAAATGTTCCATGTGCTGCTTTGAGGTAAAATGCTTTGAAAATATCTATTAAGTCCATCTGTTCTAGTGTATCTTTTAAGCCCATTGTTTCCTTGTTGATTCTTTGCCTGGAAGATCTGTCCATTGGTGTCAATGGGGTGTTAAAGTCTCTTGCTATGAGTGTATTACTATTGATCTCTCCTTTTATGTTGGTCAATAATTGCTTTATGTATATAGTTGCTTCTATGTTGGGTGCTTACTCTTATTAGGTTCTTAATGTGGAAGCTTGGATTGTTAATTTTAGACCCTTCTTCTTTTGTAATTGAAACATTTAAAGCTAGAAATTTCCCTCTAGGTACTGCTATAGCCATATCTTAAAAATTTTGATGTTATAATTTTCATTCATTTCAAAACATTTTCTAATTTATACTGCAATTTCTTCTTTGACCCATATGTTATTTAGAAGAATGCTGATTAAATTCTAAATAGAGATTTTTTGAGATATCTTTCTGTATTGATATCTATTTTAATTCCATTGTGGTCAGAGAATGTACTTTGTATGATTTCAGAACATTTAAATTTATTGAGGCTTCTTTTATCATTGATGTTCTTTTTGTACTTAAAAAGAATATATTCTGTTGTTGTTATGTGAACTGTTTTATAAATCAGGTCAAAATCATTGATAGCTTTTTCCAAATATTTTCTATTTTTACTGATTTTCTGTTTATATATTCTCTCAACTAGTGAGAGAGAAGTAATGAAATCTCCAACTATAAATTTAGAATTGACTTTTTCTCCTTTTAGTTCTATCAGTTTTTGCTTTATTATTTCAGAGCTCCGTTATTAGGTGTATCTAAGATTGTTGTATTTCTTCATGAATTTTTAATTCTTTATTATAAAGGTATCAAATTTTAGGTTAATTCATTTTTATACCTCAAATTGCTGTTGTCTTCTTGCTTGCATAATTTCAGAAGCAGAATTTGCAATTATTCATATCTGTTTCTCTGTACATCATGTGACCCTTTTTTGGCTGATTTTTAAGATTTTTCTTTCTTATCACCTTTTGTATAATTTGATTATGATTATATTATATGTAAGCTTTTCTTCTCAAAAATCAGTTATTTTTCTTGCCAGAAGTATTGCATAGGGTCAACAGATTTCAGATATTTTCGGTTTCCTGCAAAGTTCCTACACATCAATATGTACTGCCAAGAAACCACTCTGATTTATGAAGACTTAACTGCTTGACTGCAGGCTCATGAAGGCTTTTGGATAGTAGCATTCATTGATTCTACCAACACTAAAAGAATAGTAAAGTTTTATTGCTTAGTATAATCAAGGCAGTTCCCCAGATTCCCTATCAAGGTTGAGTCCTGTTAGACATACACAAATCCTCATTTTGATGTGATTTGAAGTTAGTATGAAGAACTTTGGCATTTTTCCCATGAGCTAATACATTTTTTAAAATCCTGAAACCTATAACTATTGCAGTTAAATGACAAACAAACAATTTCACAGACATTTTCTCATTTATACTTACAGCTTACAATTTCAGACATTTTCTCATTTATACTTACGGTTTTTTGTACTGAGAAGTTTTTGTAGACTCAAATCTGTAAACATTGGGTGAAGAAAAAATATTTTACAGCGAGCCATTTTTAAAAGATTTTAAAAAAATAATAATTTGCTTTAAAGCCTTAGTATTTATTGTGATTTAATTACACAGAAATTTTTAGTTTCAAATTAGATGAGCCATAGTTAAAAGATGATAAAACTAGAACAGAATGCTCCCCCATGTGTTTTGTGTTCTTGTTCCTCTAAGATTAGAAGTGAATTTTACTTTAAAAGGATAAACAGATGTGTTTATATTTTACCAAGATATTTTATAGCAAATATTAGTTGTGAAAGGGATCAACAGCAAGATTAATCTGATTAGTTTTTACTTCAGTAGAAGAGGATAATCTCTAAATGCCAATTTAAAATAAATTGATATGTGATCTACGAAGAAACTATCAATTGAGAGTACCCATTAATAAAAACAGACTTAAAAGCATTTATATAGTCACATTTTATTTATCATAGATATTTGTACATTTGTATTTTCCCCTCCCCCAAATACACAGAGTTAAAGACTAGATGCAATTTAGAACTAATGAAGACAGGCAATAAGAATGTTTTGTTTGTATCAAAATCTGTCTTTAAATGCATATAACAGGCTTAAACAACTGATGAGAAAAATAGGGTTAGCTATTGTGGTGTACCCAAAAATTCTTCTCATGCTTATTCACTTTAAGCAGTTTTATCATGTAGAGTATAAATTAGTTAATATGTGCTGAAATAATAAGGATAAGCTAGATAGAGTTGGTAGGTGTTATTTAAAATGAAGATTTAACCACAGACACTTATTACTCTTGGACCCCAAACACTGCATTTGTAGCATTTACACTAGAAATGGTTAGTTTTTTTTCTTTATGGAAAAGTTATTCTATTTTTTTATTTTTAAAAGATTTACTTGGTTTAACATTTTCTCTGTGACAGGCATCTTCACGCGAGGACAGCTGGGCCTGGCAGAGATCATCTTCCAGTACATTCACTGTGATGAGATCTATGAGGCGATAAACATACTAAGCAGTATGAATTGGGACACTTTGGGCCACCAGTGTTTCATCAGCATGAGTGCCATTGTAAACTATCTTCTTAGACAAAAGCTCACTCCAGAGAGAGAAGGTGAGACTTGAAATATATTTCATAAATGGGTTTTGCAAATACATGAAGTACATTTTATAGTCAGTTATTTTTTTAGGATGTTTTTGAGTTCTTGGAGATTAAAAGACAAAAATGGTAATGCCCTATTAAAACTGACAATATCAGATATCAAATAATTACTCCCATATGATACTATATAGTATTTGTCAACATAAAGAAGAACTTTTCTGTTATGTATCTATGTGGGAACTCATAATGCAGTCATTGTATATTTTGGTCTAAATTCGTATGTGGAATATGCTCAGATTTCAAATTTTGATCAAGAATTCCATGTACTCTCTAGGGTCTGGTAGACAAAAGGTCCCAAACAAAGATCTTTATTTCTCCTTCACTTTAGACATCAATATTGTTCTTTCACACCCCAAGTTATTTGTCCAGACAGTAATCTTTACCACTGTGTGTGTGTGTCAGTGTCAATATCATAACTGCAGCCCAGGTTGCCCTTCATGTTTTCATTTTAACTTGTAGTTCTGATATCCCTCTCCCTTCTACCTGTTTGGATTTCCCTCTTTTTCTTTCAGGTAAGTAATTTTGCCCATAGGATCTCATATGTTTATCATCAAAAAGAGATGACACTTAAAAAAAAAAAAAAAGGTAAAAGATATGTCACCTACAATAATGAAATTAAATTTTATATTTGCCATTTAGTGTATTACTTTTATTACTATTTACTTAATGTAAAATGAACCTACATATTTTGCATTTGCATCTTTATTTCAAATTTTTGAAATAAATATTGACACATGGCCAATGAGAAACTCCCTAGGTAATTTGCAAGATAAGGAAAACAGGAAATTTGTCAAAAGGTCTATACTGGAGAGCTTTTTTCCCCCTACTGTTTTCTTTGCATGTTTATAGATTTTCTCATTCCATTTTGTTTCCAAAGTAAACAAGTTGTTTAGATAGAATTCTGTATATCCCGTTCATTTTAGTAATTTTAGAGAAAAACAATCAGTAAGAACATGTTCCTTCAGGAGGTCCGCATCATGGAATGCTCAACTCACAAGATGCCCAAGATAAGTATTTATTTAATGTTAACTGAATATACTTGTTGGAGGTAGTCCAACCCATCTATGGAGATTCCAGTATTTCTACAATGAGAAAGTGCCTAGCACAGTGCTTAGCCCACAGTAGGTACTTGATGAATGTTAATTAAAAATAAAAGAATATAACTTCAAAATTTTAGGTACTAGGTATTATTGTAATATTTCTGCCTGCTAAGTTATCTCAAGTAATTATTTCATAGTATTGATACACCCTCAAGATTGGGTGTGTAGTAGAAAAAAAAAAAGAGTTCCTAAAGAAAGCCCTGTTATGGTACACACAATCTGCATAAGAGATCTTAAATTTACAGTTGAATAAATATAGAGAAGATAAAATAATTACTGTCACTTAGGACACTGAGAAATTCCATCTACCTTAGTGAGTTTGTATTGTAAGAAAGATTATTAGGGAATTCACAAATGGGCATTATCAGATCCTTGATTTAATAAAGTATATTTTCAAGGAACCACATTAGAGAAATAGGGAAATAAAAAGCTTGTGTGATATTAGGCTGTTAAAATGAAATGCTTGCATGATGCTGGGTTATCAGAATATGTACATTTTATGTATATGCATTTTCCCCAAAGTAACTACAAAACATATTTCTAAAACATTCAGAATTCTTCTGTATTGAGATTTATTCTATCTGCATCCAACAAATTTGACATGGTAATTTGTTTCCTTTTTATTAGCGGAACCCATTGAGCTCTTTATTTGTAGCTGTGTTGTGGTTATCTTCAAGATCTTCATTTCAGCCTTAAACATCAAGCTGGGCTATCTAATGAATCTGTAACTGTGCTAGGAGTTATGAGTATTCCATGTAGGCTTGAACATTTCAAATGTACAAAACATGCTGTCAAGAAAACAAGCAATGGCAAAAGAATCTGGCTTGTTTTCACAATGACATTGCTGTATTCAATTTTAATCTAAATTGACTGCTGCTTTGAAAGAAAATACCCCTAAAGTTCATCTTACTTTACTGTCTAGATTTGAGATTAAAAAGAAAGAAATTGCTTACAGCTTAGCCAACTCCATAGCAATTACGCTGATGAGGTATTTAGTACTTTCAAACCCAAATGTGCCTAGAACTAAAGAGTTTTGCTAAATAAAGAACTGTTTATTCAACCCAGTGCTAGTAAGTAGCATAAAAATCACTGGGTTCTTACTGTGAACTGCAGCGTTCTCATATATGCTCATATTCTCACCATTATGGTAATTATATAACCTCCAGGTATTTCTGGGAGAAAACACAACCCCACAGGCATGTCTTGGTAAAATTGTGAAGTAAGCAAAATGTGCCTCTTTCTCCTAATTTCTAGCCCTCTGGTTTATCGAAACTTGCTGTCCAACCCTTTTTTCCTAGGAAGGTGTTACTTGACTAAGAGCAGATTAGCATGCCATCCCTCTCAGGGGTGTTAGCTTTCACACTTGCACAAAACCAACAATCTTGTTGTTTAGGACAGGACTGAAGGAAGAAACAGGGACTTTCACTGTTTCTTTACAATTGTAATACAGAGATATTATTACTCCAATAAAGTTTTTATTTGTATTATTTTTTAAACATTTCTAATACTGATTTCAGTTCCCAGTATGGAAAGGTTAGTTTTCTCCTTTCAACTAAAGAGAGTAAATGTTGAATACACAGTGAGTTGATTTTACTGGAAATACTAGTTCAAACTGTGTTACTTTGATGAGTCACTGTTTTAATTAAACATTTGTGGTGAGAGGTTGGTTCATTACGGATTTCTTCAGTTTTGACAGCTTTTTGTTGCTCAGAGTCATTGTCAGCTTTGCCTCAAGTGAAAGTTTATACACAGGTTTGTTTTTGTACCAGCTGTCATATTTTAATTTCGTCTTTCCTGCAACAAGCTCACATTTCATCCAAGTTTGCAAAACCTGACTGACTGCAAACATGAGTATTCTGTTGTAATTGAAGGAGTTTCACTTGTTTTAGTGCTGCTATGTTTGAATTCCACAGCACAGCTTGAGGCAAGCCTTGGAACCTTCTATGCTCCAACAAGACCACTCCTGGATACAACCATATTGGAATATAGAGAACAAATCAGCAAATATGCAAGGAGATTCTTCCACCACTTGCTCAGGTGAATGATACCTTAGGATTGATTAGTGTTAGACTATCTATTTAAGGAGCTGTCTTCTTTAATTAGAATATTACATAATATGATTGTTTTCTAATAGTATATATCCCAAGGAAAACAACAAATATTCCCTTGATTTTCTTTATTTAATTCATTCTTGTTTTCCCATAAGGACTATGAAGATTTTTTAAGGCTTTTGTATCATCAGTATACTTTCCATTTAATATGAAAGCAAAAAATATCAGCTATGTAAGGTTAATTTAAAAATTTTAACTTAATTATGCACTAGAGAAATGTTTTAGTTTTATTGAACCTAAAAATATGAATGTGCTATAAAAAGCTCTGAGACAGTTATTGGTTTGCTTTACTTTCAGAATTACTATGGAAAGATTTGTCCGTTCTCTTATATAATGTGGCAAGTTGCTAGCTTTACTGTGCCTCATTTTCTCTCCTTTAAATGGGTGTGATACATTCCTTTAACCTTAGAAATTATATGAAAAATTAGATAATGTCAAGGAATTACTCAGAAAAATAATGTAGAAGTTGAAGAACAAGTACATATATCAAATTCCATATATATAAAGTTCAAAAACAAATGGATGAATGGATGGAAGCTGAATGGATGGATATAGATAGATGATATAGTTAATTTAGAAATACATGTAAATGTGTCAATACTATAAACAAAAGCAAATAAGTTATTAGACAAAATCTAGGATAGTGTGGAATGGGTTAAGAGAAATTTTATAGGAACAGGCACATGGGAGCCTCCAAGGTGTTAGTAATGTTCTATTTCTTAAGATGAGTGGAATATATATCAGGGGCCATTAAAAATTATTTTTATTTTAGCTGAATATATACATTTTATATACTTTTATATATGATATTTTTATAGCAAAGTAATAACATTTTCAACTTCATGTACCAAAAGGAAGTATTATATCAAGTTGAATTTAAAGTTTTAGTTTTACTTACAATATAAATCTGTAACAGAACTACTTATAGTTCTGTTTAACTCTTTCAAGCAATTCATGCATGGTCTCTTCTTTTTTTCTCAGAACAACCCTGTTAAAGGGATATTATCATTTGACAAATGAGTTAACTCTAAAGTGGCACTTTGATCTCTACCCAACAGTGAAGCCTTTGGAAAAGTCTTTTTAAAAGCTGAGAGATGTTAATATATTGTATGAGTTATATGATCTGTAATTGAATCTTGCCTTTTTATTTGAATGACTTTAGTGTATTCTAAGAGACTCTCCACCCTGAATGAGGCAGTTTCCTACATGTGAACATATGCCAAAAATACCGCGGCAGTTGTTACATTTATTTGGATTGAGGGCTTTGTTCTTTGCTTTCACTATTATTTTGTTTTCCTTGTTCCTGAGGAAAATTAATGAATTCAGCTCCTGCCTAAAGAGCACAAAAGATTAACATGAATGAAACAGATGTTTTAGAGGCATACTCTTGTTGGCCTCACTGTGTCTCTGGCCTCTTTGACTTGATACCATAGTCTGGCTGTGCATAAGCATTACATTTCATAATGCTGCTGGCCCTAGATTGTGCATATCCTGCTAATATGCACATATTCTAATGTGCAACTTTTTCATTTATTTTCCTTAAATGCAGTATTCTAATTATTTTTTGAATGTGCTTTGATGAGGTGACTGTTATTGTTATCATTATTTTTAGACTAGCTTTTCTATGAGGTTATGTCTGCAATTGAATATTTTCCCTTGGGGTAGTGTAGGTTTTTCATGTTTCCTTTTTTGTATGCTTTGCTACTTACAATTTCAGTTATGAGGGTTTATTAGTTCTTTTGATAGTAGGCTATACATGGCATTGTAAAAAAAAAAAAGAGAGAGAGAGAAAGAAAAAAGAAAAAAGAAAGAAAGAAAGAAAGAAAGAAAAGAAGAAAGAAAGAGAAAAAGAAAGAAAGAAAAAGAAAGAGAAAAAAAGAAAGAAAAAGAAAGAAAGAAAGGAAAGAAAGAAAGAAAGAAAGAAAGAAAGAAAGAAAG